GGGGGAGGGATGCAGGGAGCCAGAGGAGGAGCACGGAGGAGGGAGGAGGGATGCAGGGAGCCAGAGGAGGAGCACGGAGGAGGGAGGAGGGATGCAGGGAGCCAGAGGAGGAGCACGGAGGAGGGGGGAGGGATGCAGGGAGCCAGAGGAGGAGCACGGAGGAGGGAGGAGGGATGCAGGGAGCCAGAGGAGGAGCACGGAGGAGGGAGGAGGGATGCAGGGAGCCAGAGGAGGAGCACGGAGGAGGGAGGAGGGATGCAGGGAGCTAGAGGAGGAGCACGGAGGAGGGATGCAGGGAGCCAGAGGAGGAGCACAGAGGAGGGGGGAGTCCCAGGCGGGCTCCACCCCAGCCTTAGAGCTCAGAGTGCAGAGGACAGGGGGAGGAGGCAGGAGGGATGCAGGGAGCCAGAGGAGGAGCACGGAGGAGCGAGGAGGCCGAGGCGGGGTCCACCCCGAGCCCCAGGCCCCAGTGCTCAGATTCCTCCTGTCCCTGTCCCCTGACCCTGATGAAGAATCGGACAGGACTGTGGTGCTTGCCCACGTGAAAGCAAATATAAAGTGATCATCCTCACCGCGCCCCGCGTGCTGACCCCATGGGGTCGCCCGAGGCGAGGTGGCCTTTGTCAGTCGGCCTCGCCCCCGTTTCCTATCCATGCAGCCAGTCACCTCGGAGCACCCAGTCAACATGGAGAACCTCCCGATCAACGGGGGCAACGGGCAGTCCTTCGGGTACACGCTCTATGAGACCACCATCACCTCATCCGGCGTCCTCAGCGCCGTTGTGCGTGACCGCGGACAGGTAGGGACGACCCCGCACCCAGATGCTCCCACGTGTGGAGATGTCCCAGCGCCGTGGCTCCATGTCCTCCCCGCCCCCGCGCTGGGACCCCCAGGCCCCCGCCGACGCTGTGGGCCGTGTCTGCTCCTCGGGCAGGTGTTCCTGAACACGTTCTTCCTGGGGATCCTCGACTACAAGACGTCGACGATTATCATCCCCATGGTCCAGGTTCGCCCAGGGGCGGGGCCGGAAGGGGCGGGACTGGGGGTAGGCGCAGAGCTGCCGTGGGAGCAGCTCTGTGGTCTGGGACCCAGTCCCGAGCTCAGCGTTTAGGGAAGAGNACGCTGTGGGCCGTGTCTGCTCCTCGGGCAGGTGTTCCTGAACACGTTCTTCCTGGGGATCCTCGACTACAAGACGTCGACGATTATCATCCCCATGGTCCAGGTTCGCCCAGGGGCGGGGCCGGAAGGGGCGGGACTGGGGGTAGGCGCAGAGCTGCCGTGGGAGCGGCTCTGTGGTCTGGGACCCAGTCCCGAGCTCAGCGTTTAGGGAAGAGCTGGGTCGCCCACGAGAAACCCCAAGGGGCGGCTGGGGCTTCCTCAGGGTGCCCCGTGCTGCCCACAGGGGTTCACGACGCTGAGGATCCTGGTGGAGAACTGCGGGAGGGTCAACTACGGGGACAGCATCGACCAGCAACGCAAAGGTGGGTCCTGGTGCCTCCGCCCAGCCCTCCCCACAGGGGCACTGCGGGCATGGCGCTGCGCCGGGGGGGCTCCCGGGTGGACGGGGTTCCTGGAGGCCCTGGAGGGGGTGAGTCCTGGGTCCCCCTGGAGGGGGTGAGTTATGGGGCCCCCCTGGAGCCCCTGGAGGGGTGAGTCCTAGGTCCCCCTGGTGGGTGACTCCTGGGAGCCCCTGAAGCGGGTGAGTCCTGGGGGCTTTCTGAAACTTCTCTCTCTTCCTTATCTATCAAACCTGGGAGGATTTCATGCAGTCTGAGATAGGAGCTGGACGAGAACCCTCCCCAGGCAGGGTCGCCTCTGTCACCTTGAGGAAGCGATGTGGTCAGACTGGGGCACCCGGGTCATAGCACGACCCTCCCCTGCCCAGAGCCCCGGGGCCTCCCTGAGGGGCTTGCAGCCGTGGCCGCCCCTGCTCCCCATCCTCCTGGGTCACTGGTCTGCTCCATCTGGGCCCCAGCACACTGACCTCAGTAGCTGCAGGCTGAGACGTCCCAGTCAAACCCGTCCTTCGGGTCTCCTTTCCTGTTGAAAGCCTCAGCCCCAAAGGGAGTGCCCCCCAGAAGGCCCAGAGGCAGACACCACCCCGGGCCCCCCTCAGAAGGCCCAGAGACAGCTGCCATCTTGGGTGCCCCCCCAGAAGGCCCAGAGGCAGACTCCACCCCGGGCGCCCCCCCCAGAAGGCCCAGAGGCTTGGGGCTGGCAGACTGCCTGCTGGCTCTCGGGGCTTTGGGATGGCAGGGGAGGAATCCGAGTGTGAAGAGCCCCCTGGGGGAGCTGGCCTCTCCGGGGGTCTTTTCTGGAACTTTCTGCCAGGCCCACAGGGCCCCTGTCCACCCTCCTTGCTCACCTCCTCTTCCCACAGGTATCATTGGAAATGTCTATCTGAACGATTCTCCCTTGAAAAAATTCAAAATCTACAACCTGGAGATGGACAGGAGCTTCCTGCGGAGGTGTGTCCTGCCCTGTGCTGTCCGAGGGCAGAAGAGGCTGCCGGGCCTTGCCCCCGCCCCGCCCCGGGGTCCCTGGGACCCCCTCCCCAACCACTGTCGCGGGCCACAGGGCAGGCGGTGACTCTGGACACAGGGCCCTTCCCTGTCCGTCTGCCTGCAGGTTCACTGGAGACATGTGGAAGCCTGTCACGGAACAGCCCCTGTTCCCTGCCTTCTTCCTGGGGGCACTGTATGTCTCGGACCCCCCGTACGACACCTTCATGAAGCTGGAGGTGTGTAACCCCTGCCAGGGGCGTGCACACCACGTGTGCCCACAGGCTCCCCATCATGGCCTCCCTAGTGGAGACCTCCGGGCATGCTTCTCAGGTCCAGGCTCGGGGGTCCAGTATGCGCCGGGCGCCCTGCGGGGGCAGCTGTGGGCTGGGGGCAGTGCTGGCTCGTCCCTCTGCAGTTGAGAGCTGCCGTCACTCTGAGTTCAGCGGACTGATGCGCCCCCCTGCTTCTCGTAGGGCTGGGAGAAGGGGGTCGTGTTCATCAATGGCCAGAACCTCGGCCGCTACTGGAACATCGGGCCCCAGGAGACCCTCTACCTCCCCGGTGCCTGGCTGGACACAGGCTTAAATAAGGTGGGGGCTCGTGCCCCAGGACCCCTCAACCCCGCCCTCCCTGCCCTGCGGCGTCTCCCGTGGCGGGGCGGGCGCGGGCCTGGGTGGGTGGGAGAGGACGACCTTCCGGCCCGAGACAGGCTGGCCGTCTCCCCCAGATCATGGTCTTTGAGGAGAAGAGGGCGCAACAGATAATCCATTTCGTGGACATGCCCAGCCTGGGCCAGCACGAGTACCTGCACTGAGCCGCCCAGGCCTGCGACCCCGCTGACCGGCCTGTGCCCGCTCTGTCCACCCTCGGGAGCCCGCCCGCGGCTGCAGTCGAGCCTCGCCCTGCAGGCCGGGAGGCGCGAGGAGGGGGCGAGGGGCCCTCCCAGGAGAGCCGCCCCGCTCCCCTGGGCCAGACGGAGGCCTGGGGACTGTTCACCGTGGGGGCTGGTGGGGCCCGGCTCTGAGTACTTGCTTCTCTGCCCCCGGCCCGGCCGTGCCCTCATCCCTGTGGCCCCGGCTCTGAGCTGGGGGGTGCGTCGCTGTCCGTGGATGGTGGGGGGAGCCCGCTGTCCGTTCACGACTTGCCCAGGCCTCTCTGCCATCCTGGGAGGACGCCAGTGCGCTGCAGGGCCTGCGCCTCGTGGGGTCGCATCTGGGAGTCTGGCTTCACCTCCCGCGTCCACGTGTCCCCTCCTCGCTCTGCGCTCTGCGCGAGGCGGCATCCGCTGAGGAGAAGCCGCTGCTCTGGGTGGCGGGGCGGGGGGTGGGGCAGGCAGCCTCCTCCCGAGTGCCCATCCAGATTCCGGGGTGTGCCCGGGGTGAGTCCTCTGCTGGGCTCCGGCTCACTGCCCTGAGTTGCAATAAAGCCACAGAGTCGAGTCCAGGCTTGCGTGTTGGTGTCTTTCTGACCTGGTCTGTGTGTGGGGAGCTGAGACGCAGGCTTGTGGGGCTGGGCGCACAGCCAGCCCCGCTGGTGGGGGACCAGACCGTCTGGTGGGCAGGGGGCGGCTGTGCCTGTGGGCGCGTGTCCCCACGGACCCGGATTCCCCTGCTGCCAACGGAGCCTCTTCTGTAACAGCCCCAGTTCAAGGGCGGGTTCCTCCCGGGAGTGGGACATGGCTCAGGTCTGCCGGGGGCACCGGTGTGCTGCCCCTGGGCCCAAAAACCAGGTCACAGCGGGCTGGACCCCGTAGTCCTGCTGGAGGCAAACAGTGGAGCTCACTGAAGCAAACCTGTGGACCGTGGCTGGGCGGCAGGAAGGTATCCAGAGCACATCTTGATCTCGTCCAAACTCACCAGCCCTTCCTGCCCCACATTCCGTGGGAAGCTCGAAGCTGAGTGCCAGGAGCCGAGGCCCCTGGCTGGGCCCCATGAAGCCCATGGGTGCGCGTCAAACTGGGCGCGCCTGGGGTCTGCAGGTGAGCGTGCCCTGGCATTGCTCTGTGCCACCTGACATGCAGCCCTTCCTGGTTGAGGTCCCTGGGTCCACCCGTCTTCCTGACTTCCCTGCCCAGTGACCCCAGCTTGTCTGTCCAAGCACCTAGGCAGGACGTGCCCTCCTGCTCACCCAGCTTCTGAGTGCTGGGCATTTCAGGCCCTCCCAGGCTTCCTCCCCCTCTGTCCATACTTGCTGCGGAGGCCGTGCGCACGGGGCTTGTCAGCAGCCTTCATTCTTGTTCTCTGCAATGTTGCATCCCCGTCCGAACTCCAGGGGCCCCAGCTGCTGGCCGCTCACCTCCACTGTGAGTGTGCGGTAGCCACACAACCCCACACTGTCCTCGCCGTGTGGACCCCTGCAGTCTGTCCGCATTGGTGGACGCAGCTCTCCGCTCTGTCCGGCTCTCCTTGGCTCCGCTCAAACCCCGCACCTGGCCCAGCAGCTCGCCCTGCTGCATGCCCAGACCTGACCACTGCCCTCGTCTCGGGCCGCACCTCTCCTGACCCACCGTGGTCTCCGGCCGTCCGCCTGCGTCCTGTTTGTGCGGAGCACAGGAGGCAAGCGATTCTTCTAGAAGGCCAGCTGGACCAAGTCCACTCTCTGCTCCGAACCTCTGGCAGCCCCTTCTCCCACTCTCAGGCCACCGAACTCACCCTGGTCCCCAGGCCACCTGTTCGGTGTCCCCCACTCTCGTGTCTGACCCCTGCCCCCCGTCAGCTGCCCTCAGCCTCCCACTGACAGAGCCCGCTGCCCTGGATCCCGGTCTCTGCGCGTCTGCCCGGAGGCCGTGCTGACAGCGCCCGTGCCCGCCCCGCTAACCCTAACCCTCCTGGTGCAGACGGCGTCTGGAGCACCCCGGCTTTGTGCGTTCGCGTCCTCTCTGGAGGTGACCCCAAGGCTTTCTGGGCCCACGCCGCGCCTGGAGCAGGGAGCGTCCAGGGGACACCTCACAGTACAGGCTGGACGCTTAAGTAACGAGAAAGCAGGCGTGGCGGAGGAGGGTTAAGACGGTTAAAAACCATAGTTGACTTTTAATTTCGAAACAAATTAAATACAGTTAAATTAAAACAGACCGACGGTGCAGCTGTGGGGGCCACCCACACCCCTGTGTCCTCGGGGCTCCGCACCCCCCACTCCCGACGGGGGAGCAAACAAGCTGTGGTCACGGACCCAACCCTGGCTCATAACGAACTCATTCCCAACGAAGACGGAAGCTGCAGTCCACCAGGGTTATAACTGTAAATAAATACACATGCAGCTAAGAGAGGGTGTTAGGTGAAGACAACTGAACTAGTATCTGCCAAAAAGAAAAAAAAAAGAGACGATCCCGTTTTGTGGTTCATCACCAATTTCCTGAAAACCAGCCCTGTCTTTCTGGCCAAGACAGTGGCTCAGCCAGGCCAGCTGACCCAGCGTCCAGGGTTGGTCCAGGTGAGCCGAGGCCGCGATGCCCGGCACAAATTCACCCACTCAGCTGGTCGCTGTTACCCCCGTGGTTCCCAGGCACCCGTGTGCCCCGCAAAGCGGCTCAGGGCTCTGGGTAGGGGGCCGTGGAATGCTCCTGTGGCCACGGTGAGGAGGTAAACCCCTTTCAGCACAGGCCGCAATAACTGTTTGGCACTCTGGGTCGCTGCGCGGAGGCCACCGCCCCCGATACCCAGGAGCAGGCTCTCCGCAGCCCTCGGACCCTTCCGGCGAGTTTCAGGGGGGTGGGGGCTGTTAGCGTTAAAAGTAATCACCTGTTCAGGGGGCGTGGGCCGTTCCTCTGCCACTCAGGGGAGGAATATTGTGCTTCCGGCGGTCAGGAGCGTGAGTGGGGGCTGGCAGAGGGCTGGCCCGCGGGGAAGGCAGGGGGACCAGCACCTCCCTCCTGGCGGGGGGCTGCGTGGTGGGGGGGATGGGGTGGGACTGGAAGCCAGCTGACTGCGCGCCCCATTAGGGTGAAGCGAGGTTTTGTTTCCCACTCTATGTCACGATCTGCCAGCAGTCTGGGCTCGGTCTCCTGCCTTCCGGGTCCAGGTCACCTCCGGGTCCAGGTCACCTCCGTGCCCTTCTGTCGACCCCTCCGCTAGGTCAAAGCCCCTTGGCCGGGGGCGGGAAGGACACCGCCCGGCCCTTCCTCTCTCTGCTCCTGGCCCACCTGCCCCTTGAGCCCCGCTGGCCGCTCTGGTGGGGGGCGTCTGCCTCCCCAGCTCCGGCCCAGGCGTGGCGGTGGGCAGGAGGCTCCTTCCGCGCTGGGCGGGGCCGGGTGTTGGGGCGAGGGCCTGGAGGGGCTCTGCTCCCTTCGCGAGGTGAGGTACGGACTGGCCTGCCGGGCGCTCAGACGGCCCCAGGCTCTGCAGGCGGGAGTGAGGAAAGCACGCTGGGGGCGGCCGGCCTCCTCTCCCGGGAGCAGCTCGGTCCGGACGCCAGGGGCTGGGGGCCGCCGTCCCGTGACCGTGGGGCCAGGGCCGCTCTGCGGGGCTCTCACCTCCGTCCCAGCCGGGCAGTCCCCTGGTTCGGGGCCCATGGCGTCGACTCCGCAGGACTGCCGGGCGGGTGGAGCCCAACAGGTCTGGGGGTTCTGTGCTTCAGGGTCTCCGTCCTTCGTCCCGGCCTCGGGCCGGGCTCTCTGAAGGCCCCACAGGGAAGGGAGGGGGGCAGCGAGTCCACAGGAGTGCGCCTCGGAGGGACACAGCGTGGGGAGAGAAGGCGGCCAGGAGCAGGTCTCAGAAGGCGCTCCTGAGGGGAGAGGGCGAGGGGGCAGCGTGAGGGGGCCGCTGGGAGCTGGGGTCCACCGAGCACCCCCACCCCCGACCCCTGAGCTGCCAGGAGCATACTGTCTGACCCAGTGCGGTCTCGTCTTGGCCAGGTGATCTGCCACGCTCCGGGTCACGACCCCGCGGTCTCCTGGGGTTGGGCTATTGCCCGCGAGGCACAAAAGCTGCAGCCTGACTCGAGGCCGGAACACCAAGAGAGCCCCACTCACAGCAAGCCTCCAGCTCTGCTGAGGTCACGGGAGGCCCCCAGGGAGGGCCTGGCTGAGCTGGTCACTGGCACAACCCACTCAGCTTTCCTGAGTCTCCTTCCTGTGCCTCTAAAGCGTAGATGGAGCCTGTGAGCTGCTTCAGTGCAGGATTTCAAAGGACCAAATAAAAGCAGCAGCAGTTGGGCAGTGCCAGAGACGGTTTCTGGTGCCCCAACAACCCCTTTTGCAAATGAAGAAAATGAGGGAAATGGGAGCCTGGGAGCTGGGCCAGGCTCTGGAGTCCACGCTTCCACCTCAACTGAGGAGGAAACCATGCAGACAGCCCGAGTGAGTCCACACAGCAGGGCCTCATATAGGGACAGGCTTGTGGCCAGAATGGGCCGCCACGAGGCGGTGCTGGGAGGTGAGGGCCTCCAAGCAGCAAGGAAGGGGCCAGGTGTGTGGGGACCCAGGTGTGTGGGGGCCCAGGTGTGCGGGGGCCCAGGTGTGTGGGGACCCAGCTGGGGGGCCCAGGTGTGCGGGGGCCCAGGTGTGTGGGGGCCCATGTGTGCGGGGACCCAGGTGTGCGGGGGCCCAGGTGTGCAGGGACCCAGGTGTGCAGGGACCCAGGTGTGCGGGGGCCTAGGTGTGTGGGGACCCAGCTGGGGGGCGCAGGTGTGCGGGGACCCAGGTGTGCGGGGGCCCAGGTGTGCGGGGAGCTTGCCACCTGCTGACTTCAGTCCTGCCTCCTCCACTACATGGGGCCTTTGCCGTGACTGTCATGATTAAAGACCAGGAGGAAACGCCTTGGCAGATTTACTCTGCACCCAAGCTTGGGTGGGCCACTGAACTGAACTGAACCCAGGGCGTCACTGGCTCACGTCCCCCTACCTGTGTCCGGGGCTCAGATCTCCACCGTGGGGTCAGTGAAACCTTTCTTCCCCTCATTCACCAACACAGGTTTCTCAGTCCGTGTGTGCCAGACCAGGATCTGTGTGTCCAGAGACAGGAGACCACATGGGGCCGGCCCCGACCTCGCCCGCCTACCCTTGCCCCTCCCCTCCAGCTCTTGTTCCAGCAAGACTTTCTCCATTGTTCTGTATTTCTACCTACCCCCTCATTCTTTTTCTTTGTACATAGGCTGCCTTCACAATTATCTATTGGAAACAGAAAATCTGCAGCTACAAAAAAGAGACAGAGTGGTCCCAAGTTTTCTTCTTGCTTCTCATACTTCCCTGTGCTTTTTGATGGGTCTTGAGGGAGACAGTTCTAGGGCCTCCAGCTCAGCTAAGCACCAGCCTGGTCCCCAACTGGAGAAGCCCAAACTGGAAGCAAGATGTATCTGTGCATGTGTGTTCATGCCTGTGTGTGCACGTGTACTGGGCACATGCATATGTGCACGTGTGCACACACCTGTGCTTGTGTGTACATGCGCATGTGTGCCCATACATGCATACATGTGTGCCCGTGTCTGTACCTGTGCAGACTGGACATGTGCAAGTGTGCATGCAAACACATGTATCTGTGTGTCTGTGCATGGCGGTGCATGTGCACTGGCATATGCATGCGTGTGTATTCATGTGCACACATGTGCCCATGTGTGCATGTGTGTGCACACATGTAGGTGTGTCTGGCATGGAAGTGTGGGGCCCAGCCGATGTGTGGTGAGGGAGGGATTCACTCTAGGCTCTGCCTGCCTGGGGGCCCCCTCCTTGTCCCCCCGCCCACCTTTAGTGTGGCTGCCTGAAGGGCCGTAGACCACCCACTTGGGAGGGAGGCTGGTTGTCCACTGGCGGTGCAGGTCCCTGATTAGCAGGGGCCTCGCAGGCAGGAGCTGGCCTGCACTGCGCTGCAGGCTCAGCGGGGGCCCACCTTGGTGCAGTTGGCTGCCTTGGGCTCCAGGTCACTGAGGGTGACAAGCTCGCGCAGCAGGCTGCTCTCCTGGTAGCCGCCCTTCACGCCACGCAGCTTGAAGTAGGCCTGGCTTCGCTGCAGGATGAGCCGCAGGTTGACTGCAAATCCCGCCATGTCTATGGCAAATGGCCGGTGGGGGTCGAACACCGTCTTCCAGCCGACCACCTTCCCTGCCCCGTTGACCCTTGGGGCCTCGTATCGAAGGCCCCCGACGAAGGCGACGGGCCACACAGACACCCTCCTGGTGCTGCGCATCTAGAGGGGAGAAGAGTAAGGACACCTGGGCCGCCTAGGACGGGCATCTGCGGAGGACTGGCCAAGGCTGTGAGCAAGGCCACCCTGCAAGCAGCTGGTGCTTCCCTTGTCACGTGACCTGTGCTTTGTCCTTTGCTGCAAAAGCTCTGTCTCCCCGATTTAGAGTCTGAAATGACTCCCTCCGCTACCCCAATGTCCTGATTACCAAACTCGGGGGGTGGGGGGGACACTGAGGGTGGACGAGGAACCCGCCTCCCCTCCCCCACTGGAAGCCCTCCGCCAGACAGTGCCCTGAAGCCAGGGCTGCAGTGGGTTGGTCCGTCTGGGAGCCCCATGCAGGCCTCCACCCCCTTCACCAGGTTCCCCGCCCTCCCTGGTCTGCGTGCATCTGCAGCCCGCACCTCCTCAAAGAGCTCCAAGCTGTAGGTGTTGTCGTCGTCCGCGAAGTACACGACGCCGGGCTGGCTGGAGTTGCGTGGGAAGGTCTCCCGCAGCCAGCGCAGCGCCAGGTTGCGCTGCATGGTGCCCCGAGGGATGCGCGGGTCACGCGCATCCCCCCGCAGCTTGTAGTTGCGGGGTGTCTCCACGTGCAGGTGTGTGTAGTTGAGGCCGGTGTCGCGCAGCAGGCGTGCCGTCAGCGGGGTGCGGCGCGGCGCGTCCTCCACCACCAGTGCGCGGGTCACGCGCATCCCCCCGCAGCTTGTAGTTGCGCGGTGTCTCCACGTGCAGGTGTGTGTAGTTGAGGCCGGTGTCGCGCAGCAGGCGTGCCGTCAGCGGGGTGCGGCGCGGCGCGTCCTCCACCACCAGCCAGTGCAGGTTGGGCACGTGCAGCAGGGTGTTGGCCAAGCGCGTGAGCTCTGCCTTCTGCACCGGGCGGCTGTAGGTGGGCGTCACCACGTGGATGGTGGGCAGAGTGTCAGACCAGGGCGGGGGCCGCGTGTACACGTACTCTGTGCGCACCACCTCCACGATGTCCCGGTCGGACATGCAGTACTCCCTGGGGTCTGTGCCAGGTGGCGCCTCGTGCCGGGGGTCACCACTATCATCTGCAGATTAGAGGAGGGGGTGTGGTGCTGGGGTGTGGGGACAGTACTGGGGTACTGGGAGTACAGGTACTGGGCACAGGGGTACCAGAGTACTGGATACAGAGATACTGGGTTCGGGGGTAGTGGGTGTATAGGTAATGGGTACAGAAGTACTGGGTACAGATACTGGGTATAAGCACTGGGTACAGGGTACTGGGTATAGGAGTGCTGGATACAGAGATATTGGGTACTGGGGTACTGGGGTACTGGGGTTCAGGTAGTGGGTACAGATACTGGGTATAGGGGTACTGGGTAAGAGCACTGGGCACAGGAGTACTGGATACAGAGATTCTGGGTTCGGGGTGCTGGGGATACAGGTACTGGGTATAGATACTAGGTATGGGGTACTGGGTATTAACACTGGGTACAGGGTACTGGGTATAGGAGTACTGGATACAGAGATACTGGGTACTGGGGTACTGGGGGTATAGGTACTGGGTATAGGGGTACTGGGTATGAGCACTGGGTACAGGAGTACTGGATACAGAGATGCTGGGTACAGGGTTACTGGGGGTACAGGTACTGGGTAAAGATACTGGGTATAAGCACTGGGTACAGGGTACTGGGTATAGGTGCTAGATACAGAGATACTGGGTACTGGGGTACTGGGGGTACAGGTACTGGGTACAGATACCAGGAATAGGGGTACTGGGTATGAGCACTGGATACAGGGGTACTGGATACAGAGATGCTGGGTATAGGAATACTGGGGGTACAGGTACTAGGTACAGCTGTACCAGGTACAGAGGTACTGGGTACAGATACTAGGTATGGGGTACTGGATATTAACACAGGGTACAGGGGTGCTGGGTACAGGAGTACTGGGGGTACAGGTACTAGGTACAGCTGTACCAGGTACAGAGGTACTGGGTACAGATACTAGGTATGGGGTACTGGGTATTAACACAGGGTACAGGGGTGCTGGGTACAGGAGTACTGGGGGTACAGGTACTAGGTACAGCTGTACCAGGTACAGAGGTACTGGGTACAGATACTAGGTATGGGGTACTGGATATTAACACAGGGTACAGGGGTGCTGGGTACAGGAGTACTGGGGGTACAGGTACTAGGTACAGCTGTACCAGGTACAGAGGTACTGGGTACAGATACTAGGTATGGGGTACTGGGTATTAACACTGGGTACAGGGGTACTGGGTACAGGAGTACTGGGGTACAGGCACTAGGTACAGCTGTACTGGGCACAGGTACCAGCCTGCCCAGCTCTCCCCTGCTCCTCCTGTGGGAGAGTCAGTGCACGCCTGTCCAGGGTCCTGGGGGCTGCGGCTGACGGTCAAGGCTGGCTGCCTGACACCCTCCCCTGGTCCTCCTCTTTCTGACTCCCAAATGACACAGAGATAACCTCTCCCTACGTCTGGCTTTCGACAGCTCAGAGCTGTTTAAGGGCAGCTGGCCACACTCCAGCGTCGCACCCTGGGCTCCTGTCTGTGCCCGGCTTTGTATGACAAAGCGCCTGCCTTGCGGCCCACGCCCTCCACCCCTTCCAGAGCTGGCCGAGGAGCCCGGGCACCAGCGCTCGTGCCCGGGGCAGCTCTAGTGCTTCGGTGCTACGCACCCTGTGGCCCCAGAGTCCAGGAGCACCTTGCCTGAGTTCCAGATAGGCTGGGCGGGATCAGAGCCTCCCTCTCAGGCTGTCGCCTCCGTCCTCCCCTCCCCGTCCCCCTCCTGCTCCCTCGGGGGGAAGGGGCCTGCAGGGGGCTGCCCCAAAGGCGCTCTGGGGCCTGACCCAGAATCTAGCTCCCGAACCTCGCTGCAGAGTGTGGGGCTTCACCACGGCACTCTGTCCCGGGGGCAAGATGCTTCTGGATCCCGAGCCTGTCCCTTCTGACCGCCGATGTCCCGTGTTTGGGCCAGAGGGTGGGGTGAAGACCTGCCTCGGCTGCTCCCGGCCTGTGTGTCTCCTCACACACACATTCCCATCATGCGCTCTCAGCCCCTGGGGCCTTGCCTGTGCCCCCACCGAGCCGTGCACCCAGGAGGGGCGTGTGTGGAGCTGGGCAGAGGCCCGCCTCCGTGACACGCAGGCGTGGGGGCCTTTGGAGGTGCCCTGCTCCCGCCAGGGTGGCTCTGATAGTCAGGCTTTCTCCTACATCTGCGTCCCCGTGGGGAGCCAGCAGCCCCTCACGGGGGGGCAGCCCGCAACCCCTCCCGTTCTGAAAGTGCCCCCCTGCCCCCGAGGCCTGTCCGGCCACGTGAAGGACTTGGGCGCTCGTTGCTCCTGGGCCATCTCAGCGGGAGGCGGGACGGTCGGAGGCCAGACCTCAGGGTCCAAGCTCCGAGGCTCAGACTCTGGCTGGCTCTGCACTAACCGCACGACCCTGAGCTGGGCGCCTGGCCTCTGGTCACTGCTGGCAGCTGCTAAGGAGAGCTGATAACTGCGTCTCCTTTATCCAGGTTCCGTGGCTTGGGTTCAGGGGCTTGGAACACAGCCCGGGCTCACAACATCTCCCCTGTGCAGAGGGGGATGGTAAGATGCTCTGTTCTCGTGGCTTCTTGCAACTATGAAAAGGGCGGTGGGAGCAATCCCCTGTGGGGAGTGAAGAGAGCCCCGGGAGACCAGGCTTCCTACAGCTCTCGTTAGCATGCGGGTGTGGGTGCAGGCGCTGGCGTGGGGCTGGGCACAGGGCTCCAGAGTGACAGATGCGTCCCTGGCTCTGAGAGAGTTCCCATGGGCTAATAACCCCCACTGGGGAGACACAGCCCAGGTGGGAGCCTGCCCCCGGGCTCTGGGTGCAGGCTGGGGAGACTGGAACAGGCAACCAAGGGGACTTTCTGCAGGAGTTTTGGGTCAAACTGGGAAAAGAAAGCTAGCTTGTAGAGAGCAGCTGCAGACCAGGACATAAATAAGGATTAGTGTATCCTGCTGTGAGCAGAGCTTTGGAAACCGAGGCTCAGGGAGGACATTGAGCGTCACTGACCCCCGTCCTCCCCTGTCTGCCCTTCAGTCACGCCCCCGCAGGCGGCTCTGAGCCCTGGAGCGTCTGCGAGCCGGCGATGGGCTGGGTCAGGGCTGCCGCCGCCTCCGAGTCCTCAGTGCCCCCATCGCCCTCAGCTGCTGCCTCTGTCCAGCATCGCGGCTGCCCTTTCCTGTCTCTAGGCATGACCGGCTGTGCTGAGCACAGCAGCCTGGGGCCTCTCAGCCCGAAGCGCTGCGGAGACCGGAAGCACGTGGTGTTGGGTCCCACGTGACAAACCTCCCGAGGTGCTGCGGTGACAACCCTAAAGGACGAGCAGCGGCCCTGGGGTTCAGGCTGAGGACTCGGGGCTCACACTGCCGTGGCCTGGGTTCCATCCCTGCTTAGGGAACTGAGACCCCATGAGCCACTCAGCTCAGCCAGCAAGGAGTGAGGGGGAGGAAACGCCGGGAGAGCTCCGGCGCCTGACGGGCGGTGGGCACTGAGCTGTGCTCGGCCCGGCCCTCCCGGAGGAAGCTTCAGGCCCCCGCAGGGATGAGCAGCCTGATGCGTCACGGTGTGGGCCGCCCACCCCAGACTGGGGCTCTCGGCCCTGCCTGCTCTGGGGACTGGGGGCTGCGTCAGGGCTTCCTGACCAGGGAAAGAAGACTCTCGCCCTGAAAGGCTTTCAGTGACACAGGCTGGGAATCCCGCCCCCCAACCCTGAGTCCTTCATGGTGCACCCCCCGAGTCCTCCTGTGGGGCATGCCCGACCCCCCGAGCCCTCCCATGGTGCACCCTCCGGAGTCCTCCTGTGGGGCATGCCCGACCCTCCGAGTCCTTCATGGTGCACCCCCCAGCCCTCCTGTGGGGCACGCCCCCCACCCCCACGCCCTCCTGTGCTGCATGTCCTGGGCGTGGGTGCAGAGGAGAGCCTGTAATGCTCTGAGCCTGTGTGCATGGCACCATCCAAGCCCCAGGTCAGCCCCCAAGGGTGCGGTCATCAGCCAGGTCGTCCCCAGTTCCCCTCTGGCTGAGCAGGGGAGACTCAGGCCTCCAGGCTGCAGCCACTCCATCAGGGGAGACTCAGGCCTGCAGGCTGCGGTCACCCGTCAGGGGAGACTCAGACCTCCAGGCTGGGGTCACCCCGTCAGGAGACTCAGGCCTGCAGGCTGCGGCCACCCCATCAGGGGAGACTCAGGCCTGCAGGCTGGGGTCACCCCGTCAGGAGACTCAGGCCTGCAGGCTGCGGCCACCCCATCAGGGGAGACTCAGGCCTGCAGGCTGGGGTCACCCCGTCAGGAGACTCAGGCCTGCAGGCTGCGGCCACCCCATCAGGGGAGACTCAGGCCTGCAGGCTGGGGTCACCCCGTCAGGAGACTCAGGCCTGCAGGCTGCGGCCACCCCATCAGGGGAGACTCAGGCCTGCAGGCTGGGGTCACCCCGTCAGGAGACTCAGGCCTGCAGGCTGCGGCCACCCCATCAGGGGAGACTCAGGCCTGCAGGCTGGGGTCACCCCATCAGGGGAGACTCAGGCCTCCAGGCTGGGGTCACCCCATCAGGAGACTCAGGCCTGCAGGCTGCGGTCGCCCCGTCCGCGAAGCCCGGCAGGGCGGGACTCACCCTTGCGCGCGGTGAGCAGGGGCGCGATGGTGCTCTGGTGCCACACGGTGACCAGCAGCGTCCAGGGAAGCACGATGAGCACGATGGCGAGGACGTCCCGTCGCTTCGGCATCTCCAAGGCTGGCTGGGCCCACAGCTCCTCGTGAGCTGGGCAGTGGCCGTGGGGGGGAGGAAAGCACATGAGTGGGCCGGGCAGGCCGGGCACAGGGCCGCGGGGAGCCGCACGCCAGCCCGCGGGCCTGACCGCTCAACCCACCCATTGCCGACGCAGCTCTGCGGAGTCCGGCCCGACCAGAGTCTGGGAAGGGGTGCCGTCCGCGGTGGGTCAGGAGCCCTGCGGGGTGGACACCTGCAAGAGGGGACAGAGAGGCTGGCCGGAGGTCTGGGGGCTGCCCCGCAGGGCCAAGGGCAGGCGGTGCCCCCTCGGTCCAGACACCCCTGGCGGTTCCCCCGGCTCACCCCCGGGCCTGTTTGCTCTTTTATGAAGTGGGCGGTGCGCACTCAGGGCTCAGACACCCCTGCCTCGGTTCCCCTGGCTCAGTCCTGGGCCTGTTTGCTCGTTGACGAAGAGGGCACCTACTTTCCAAGGCTTTAACGCCTGTGAGCCTCGCAGCCTGCCACTGGGTGGATGCAGCGAGCGCTCAGGGTGACGGCCTTGTGGCTGTGATGGCCACAGCCTCGTGCTCGGACGTCGTTTCACAGCCTGGATGAAGGCATCTGCTCCAACTGAGTCCTCAGAGGACTGGCCAGTGGCGTTTGGAGATGGGTTCTGGGAGGGTGCATCCTCAGCTAGTTTGGGCAGGACAGGGCCTGGACTGTGGCCACGGCCGGGGGTCAGCCGAGGGGCTCGGGGGTCAGTCAAGGCGCTCAGGGGTCAGCCAAGGGGCTCGCGTGCCGACAGCTCCCCTCCGGGCCAGCTGAGCTAGTGATGAGGGACTGGCACCCTGCCTCCTGGCAGCCTGGGGACTGTCACCCCCTCGTCCACCCCCCACTTCCATGCTGAGAGCCCTGCAAGACGCCTCTGGTCCCACAGCGGCAGCCTGGGGGGGGAGGACAGCCACGGGCGGCCTGGTCTGGCAGGCTGAGCCCCCGAGCCTGCCGTCCACCCAGCCGCAGGCAGGCGGACATCCGTCTCCCGCGGGACGGGGAGCCAGGCTGAGCAGGACTCTCGGAGGTGCTGCGTCTCTCCTCCCTGCCCGGTCCTCTCGCCTGCAGCCCTCCCAGCAGGCGAGTGCTCCCGCTGGCCGCCTCAGCCCGTCTGCATGGCCTGCTTGGAGCAGACAGCAGACAGGCCCGGGGGTCAGGTGGTGCGGGCTCGGGGCGGGTTCCTGGACCCCGAGCTGCCTCGACGCTCCCGGCCGCGGCCCTGCGGGAGGAGCCCAGAGGCCACACTGCCTGCCTGTCCGGGTGTCGGGGTGCCTCCCCGGCCAGCCCCACCCACGCTGAGCCCACGGGTAGGACGCCGAGCGCCGGGCCCGGGCCTCGGTCTGGCTGGCCGCTGCGGGCCGCGCAGGGAGGCCTCCTCGGGGTGTGGGTCCCCCAGGGCTTTTCCAGCGTCTGGCCGTGGGGGCCGGCCTGGTCTGGGCACTCAAGCACCCGCCCCCACTGTGGCTGTTCCTGGGGAGCACTCTCTGCTCCCTGAGTCCTCCCGCATCCCCTTCTGCCCGGTGCTCGCCGAGGCCACAAGTGACGGCTCGTGCTGGGGCCAGACTTGAACCCAGACCCTCTGGGAGCAGGGGAAGGAGCGTCAGGCCCCAGACCCCCTTCAGAGGCAGCCCCCTGAAGGCCCTGTGCCTCCCAGAGAGCAGGAGGGGGACAGAGGCAACGGCCTGAGGGGGACGCTCTGATCCCGTCCAGTCTACTGGTCAAAACATCTATGACAGGAAGGAGGGAGAGGCAGGAAAGCTCTAAAAATAAACTTAGCCATAAACCCAGTTGTGCATTAATTACTTTGGAAGCCATTACAGCTTGAAAACCCCATAACTTTAATGGAGTCTATTATAAGCACGGCAGCAAAGTCGTGGAGCTAATTACCAGGCGGTTATGAAGCGGAGCGGGGAGCCCCCAGCCTCCAAGGGAGCCAGTTGGCCAGCAGGCGGCCTGTGGGGGTCGGGCCTGGGGCTGGGTGGCTAAGACTGGGGGTCTGGAGGCCTTGGGTGGGGGCGTGGGGTGGGGCAGGTGGAGTGTGTGCACGTGTGTGCCTGCATGCGCACCGTGTGTGTGCGTGTGTGTGCACATGCGTGTGTGTGCGTGTGTGGTGGAGGTCAGTTACACACAGATCCTCCCCCCCACCCCCGAGCCCTCGAGCAGGGCAGGGGCCATGGTGCTCATAGGCCTGGGATCGTGGCTGGCGGGCAGGTCGCAGGAGGCCACGAGGAGAAGAACCCCCGGAGGGGATGTGTACAAGCCACGCCTGTCCTGCCCACCACCCAGCCCGCGGTCCTTTCCCCGACTGAGCGCCTGTCACCAGCCAGCACGGCTCTGCCTGCGAGGCCAAGGATGTCGCAGGAGCTCACAGTCCGCGGGGAGTCACCCCCCGGGGCACCGTGCCCGCGGCCTTGATACTGACTTCCCTGAAGCGGTCCGCGACCGGGGGACACTTGGTGAGCGACCTGCACGGCGTCCTTCAGCATTTGTATGATGTTTCCCACGGTCTTCATCTCGCCTGGAGAACGTTTTCCCGGACTCTCCTTGTGGAACCTTTGAAGAGCATTCAACTTAATTCTCATAGAAACAAGGGCTTTCTTCCTTTCCGGCTTGAATTTCTTTTTTCTGCCATATTCTGTGTTGGTAAGGGGCTTCCCTGGTGGCTCAGCAGTAAAGAATCTGCCTACAATGCAGGAGATGCAGGAGACCCGGGTTCAATCCCTGGGTTGGGAAGATCCCCCGGAGGAGGGCTTGACGTCCCACTGCAGTCTTCTTGCCTGAAGGATCCCATGGGCAGATGAGCCTGGCGGGCTGTAGTCTGTGGGGTTGCAGAGTTGGACAGACTGACCGTGCACAGAGATGAGAGCATGCGGGGCCATTGCAGACGGATGAGGAGCCTTACAGACTCTGGGGAGGCCGCAGCTCCCTGGCCCAGAGGGACCCCGCCTGCCGGCAACGCTCAGACAGGCCAGGGCGTCGGTCCTGAGTGGGTGGAGGGGACACGGCTGGGCCATGAGGACAGCAGCTGCCCCCGTCCCTGGGAGCTGAGTGCCCAGGGCTGCGCAGACGTTGGGGCCGTGCAGGAGGAGGGGCTGGTTTGGAGAAGCTGGGTGGAGGTCAGCGGAGGTCAGCAGAGGTCAGTGGGCAGGATGCCGGGAAGGGCCGGCTCATCCCCGGCCTCAGACGGTCCCCAAGACCTGCAGGAGCCCTAACAGGACTCAGCATCGACCCCGCGGCCCCTGCACAGGACAAGCCCGAGGCCACAGCTAGCCAGCTCCCACCCCAGGGTCCACATGCATCAGCTGGCCCCAGGCCTCCTCCCTGGCCTCCTCGTCCCCCTGGCTCCGTGGGGAGGGGGAAGCACATGGCGGCTGCTGTCCCCCGGCTCGGCCCTCACCCCCGGAGCATGTGAGAGAGGGGGCCTTCCACCCCAGGAGGGCTCAGACAGCCCCTGGGGCTGCAGCCCTGCCCTGGGTAGGCGGGGTTCCTTCTCTGCAAGCCACAGCGGCCTCTGAGGCAGGCAGGGCAGTCTCAGCCCCATTTCACAGGCTAGGAAACTGAGGCCTGGAGGGCCCGGGTCAGTCTCAGAGCATGCTCACCTGCCCTATGCACACTGCTCCTGCTGGCAGGCCTGGCCCCTCGGGCAGCGCCAAGGACCCAGTTCAGCCAGGAGGGGCTCTCCACCGGCTCTCACGGTGGGGGCTGGAGGGACCCCAGGCCTGGTGCCATCTTCCTCTGCTCTGGCTGAGACCCCAGCCCCCAGCTGGGGCGGAAGGACGCCCGCTCGGCTCAGGCTAGGCTGACGGCTTCGAGTTTCTTCCACGCAGGAGTCAGGAAACAACAGTCCATCGGTTATGTTTGAAGTGGCTCCTTGGTTTTTCTTCCAGTTATTCAGAAATAGCCTTGGGATCGGGTTTGGATTCTGACTCAGTAGAGAGTGGAGACAGGGTCTGATGAGCGTGGTCTCCTGCACTGCGGGAATCTGAATGGCACAAACCAGCAGCACCAGTGGCTTGACTGACGTCTCCGTCTTCGGGCAGAAGGTCGTCCACACGCCCCACAGCCCGCTAGCAGGAGGGCATCACCCGGGGTGCATCCTGGGTGCCCTGGGCTGGGCCCAAAGCACACGCGTGCCCTGCAGCGTGACTCAAGGTGGGGACACAGACCACAGGGAAAGTAGGCCACCCAACAGCGGCCGGCCAGGGTGTGTGCCCCCGTGGAGAGCTGCTGCTGGAGGGCCTCGGGCGGCTGTCCCCTCCACAAGGCCCATCACGGCCCTGCTCAGGGGTCTGAGTATCCCCAAGCCCGCCAGCTACCTTGCAGGAAGCCTGGGTCCCAGCTGGGCACTGCACCCCACCTCAGCACTGTCCGATTGTGATTCAGCCCCACAGTGACCAAAGCACCAGCCCCCTGCCCCCAAAGCAGTCTGTAGTTTCACTCGGGAGGCAACGGGGCTAGGTCCATTCTGCGAGCTCCTTGGAGCCACTGCCCCGGGTGACGTCACACACGTGTGCATGTGTGAGCTCGCGGCGCCTCTGAGTGAGTGCACGTGTGTCTGTGGGCACATGAGTGTTCCTGGGTATATGCGTGGTCTCAGGGCACAGAGGCCTCTGAGGAACATCCCCCAGGAGAGGCTGTGTGGACGCAGCAGGCAGTCACCCTGGCCCTGGGACACGGCCCTGCCCTAGTCCAGTGTGGCCGCAGAAAACACCCTGGAACACACGCTCAGCGCTCAGCCCCAGGCCCTGGAGGCATGGGGCAGCTCAGGACACGCTCAGGACACGCTGACACACAGTGCATGGGGCCCCCGGGCACCGCCCTAGGCTCTGATAGGAAACAGAGGGCAGAGGCCAGGGGCTGGGGGCCTGGGACTGAGTGTCCGAGGCTGCGCTGGCCCAGGACAGCATGCAGAGTCTGCAGGCCATGGGCGAGGCTGCGCTCAGCCGTGCTGGGCTGTCAGCACATGGCCGTCTGTCCCCCCCACCCTGCCCCCGCTCTCTGGCCATCCTGCTTCTCTCTGCCTGTTTCCCTTGGAGCTGGTGGCCTGCGGTTTGGGGTGAGGGTCCCACCCACCCCGCGGTTTCCAGGGGAGACCACCTGGCACTCTGAGCCCTTGGCCTGACCCCTGAAGCTTGCCCGGCTCCACGCACTCTGTGGCCAGTCCACACCCTGCATGAACCCGCTGGTCTTGCTGGTTCCGCG